TATCAATTTGCTATCAGATTCTGTGAGCAGGCTTTGCTAGCAGATCGTAAGCCTAATGCGGACATAACAGATGCCAATTTGCTCGCAACTTTTTAGTATATCTGTTGCCAATTTGCTGGCATATTGCGCGCATTTTGCTTACTGGGAAGCTTGTCGATAAAAAGTAACAGCAAATTGCTAGCAAAAACCGAGCACAGCTTGATACATATTAAAATATATTTTGATCTGAGACCAAATTGACGCCAAATATGAAGCAAGATCTGCGCAACACGACACAGCTTTGCTTGGTTTTTGCCAGCAAGTTGCTGTTATGTTTTGTTAACAAGCCTGAATATAGTTTTGCTAGCAATTTTGCAACATTGCCAGACAAAACAAACTCTGCATCATATTTGATGTCTTTCTGCTAATAAAATTTGTAACAAGCATTTGGCAAAATCTGTTTCGACAGATTTGGTTATCTGGGATTTATCAAAGAATCTTCAAATTAAATTAAACAATAAAAATTCAAGCTTTCAAAGTAGAAAAACGTGATCAATATGTGTATTGTAGTCATACATGTAAATAAAAAAGTAAAATGTTGCGTCAATTTTTGTGAACAATATTGGAAAATATTGCAGAAAGTGTTATACTTTTTATTCCTACGTTACGGTTATCCCGATTGATTTTGCTGTTCTCGACTATATAGAGAAATGCGTTTTGCTTTCTTCGATTTAAACTTTAATTGATTTCGGAGATTATTTAGCAAGAGTATATACTTCATAGTTGTTATTCTTTACTTACAAGAACAGCATTGGAATATTAAAAGAAGTATTATCGAGAATGAAACTGTACACTCTACTGACAACATTCTTTCCAAGGTTCCTTTTCACACTGATGCACAATTAAATACGGCTCGTCTAGCTCATGTTTAGCCGATACGATTCTGCGCAGCGTCATATATGTATCCGACACACGCTTTCAATGCAGCAACCATTATTGTTGCGTCTTGAACATTAAATAAAGATAAATCTTTTAAAGAATACGATGGTATTTATTAATACATATTATTTATTAATACTTATATTAATACACACTTATTAATATTTACACTATTTATTAATACTTATATTATTTTTAATATATCCCCGATAGCCAAATGATAGAAGTATGCCACCAGTATGCACGCAGGTTTAATCAGCACTTTGCAACAGATTCCACTCAGCTGTGTCATCATAGTGAGTGAATTATGTAGGCACGATATGTAAAGAAAACAAGACAGCAAAAATATAGAAATAAATGAAGAATGAAATGATAATAGCACGTTATGCTTCAAATCTGCTAAATTTATTTTAGCAAGTTTTGCTCTCGATTAATGCAATAATATTTGCATCACGGCATGACACATTTATATTCTCTTTTTTTCTCTGTTTTTCTGTCGACACTAGTTAAAATAACAGATTATGTTTGAATGCTGTCTACACTCTTACGAAAAAGAACTACTGGCAGTAATATATATTGCGGCAGTAGTACGAAAAAATTACTGGCATTCTGTGTAATTGCCACCCAGATAACCAAGACTGAATGAGCATATTTTGCAAAGTGTGCAATAACACATTATACCAGTATAATGTAGCTAGCATTCAAACATAATCTGTTATTTCAACTAGTGTCGACAGAAAAACAGAAAAAAAAGAGAATATAAATGTGTCATGCCGTCAAATATTATTGCATCAATCAAGCAGAACTTGCTCAAAGAAATGTAGCAGATTTGAAGCATAACGTGCTATTGTCATTTCATTCTTCATTTATTTCTATATTTTTGCTGTGTTATTTTCTTCACATCATGATTACATACATAATTCACTCACTATGATGACACAGCTGAGTGGAATCTGTTGCAAAGTGCTGATTAAACCTGCGTGCATACTGCTGGCATACTGCTATCATTTTACTATCGAAGCAGTAATATTCTTAGTAATTCCTGTAATACCTAATAATATTCTTATGTGATTGTCAATAATATTTATATTACTGACTTTATTTATATGTAATCGGCAATAGTTATTTTTTGTAAGGGTATAATTTTTTAATTATTTTATTTATGTTTTTAAAGAGAAACAACAACAGTTGGTTACACTGAAACATAAACAACTGTTGTTAATTAAAGATAGCTTAATTTAGAGAAAATTTAAGTTAAAAAATATGTTAAATTAAATTCTATAGAAGTGTGAAGTAAATTACATTATGGGTGCTTTCCAACTACTTACACAAGCGACACTGTGTAACACAGTGTCCATTAGTGTGAGTGAGACACACTGATATGCTCTTTCTCACACTAATGGACACAGTGTTACACAGTGTCGCCTGTGTACGTAGTTGGCAAGCACCCTATAAAAAGGTCTACGAATTGTTAGTGTTAATTGTTAGCGCCTGCCAAGTCTCAACAAGTCTATACATGCTACATGCATGCTATCACCTCTCACTATCACTCTCTCTCAATTGACTTTCGGACGTCTATCTTCGTTGCTCTCAGCCTGCCGCGGCCACCAATCAACTCACTGCTAGAAAAGAAGAGAACTACTCCACCACTATTTCTGTCTCTTTTAACGAAGCTTCAGCTCCTCTTACACGAATGTTCCGTCTATTATATAAGTCTATGATATTTACACAAGAAAGTTTTAAGTTGGCTCTACTGAAATATCAATTTTTCTCACTTCTATTTTACTTCGGCTGTGTTTCAAAATTCACTGCCAGCGCTAAAGATCTATAGTTTAAGTCACATATATTATACAATTTTAGCACTGGCAGCGTGCTGGCAGTAAATTTGAAACACAGCCTTCCAATGGAAACAGAACACTAAGGCCCGAATTCATAAGCTGTGTTCCAGAATTGCTGCCAGCACGCTGCCAGTGCTAAAATTGTATAATATATGTGACGTAAACTATAGATCTTTAGCGCTGGTAGTAAATTTTGGAACACAGCCATAGTCGCTTCTCAAATCTTAGATCTCGTCTCTAATCTCAAATTTCAGCTCTCAGGTCTCGAATTTCCAACCTCAAATTTCAATGCAGAGGCCAATCATGAAATTCGGTGTTTCATGACTAAGCGAGTAGAAATTATAGACTTTCGGTCCACTGAACCATTGGTCTAGTTTCCACCGAAACCCTCAATTCGGTTCCACTCCGGTACAGATCAAATTTAGTGTTCCGTTTCCATTGGAAGTAGAATAGAAGTAAGAAAAATTAATATTTCAGTAGAGCCAACTTAAAACTCGTATGTGTAAATATAAACAGACATAACCTGAAAAGAATATAATCCGAGAAACTTCTAATTGACTCCGCGGAAATGATTCAATCATATATTTTATCTTTTTATTTTCAACTTGCATCGACTTCTTAACAAGACCCGACATAATGCAA